GTGATAAGCTTTGCTTTCTTAGCACTGAACTGTGAATTTTCAGTAGCAAGAAAGAGGGGTTGCAGCATATCAGAACTGAGAGGCTACGGTAGCTAAATTCCTGGCATTCCTAATGTTTATTTACTGGCAAGACAGTCTTTGCTCACGTTATCTAGGGCATAAGCCTTCTGTAATGTGAAATAAGGATTTCTTTATAGTTCCAGACCATGTGATCCGAGTGATTCCTATTCATGCTTCTTTTCTCCATTTGTGTTACTTTTCTTCCCTAAAACCTGTTAAGGAATAATCATTAACTGTAAGTGCTTCCTTTAGAGCTTCTCTTGGTTTTAAGGGCAATCCATGTATTTAATTCTATTCAATGAGAAATTTCATAGAATGTATATGAACATTCACTTCATTCTAGTTCAGAACGGAGACTTGCTAATACTAATCTAAGGCTCCAGTATCTCAGTTGCACACACGCTATGTTAAAAGAAGTAAATGGCATCAGACTTACTCTTCCAGTAACAGTTCTATGACAATGTTAGCAAAGTTTACAAAGAAAGATATACCTGGACTACAAATTTAAGAGGGAATAAACAAGTGACTTACTAACTACACCAAGAATTTGATTGATTTGATTCTATCTACTTAGGAATTGCCCTTTCAGATTTTTCTTCTTCAAGGAACAGAAGCAAATTCCTTAAATCTAGCATGAATGTATTGGTCTTCTGTTATTACAAGTCCCCGTCTTCTTGAATTATAATAAAAAGAGAAAGGGTAGGGGTTTTTCTTAAAACATTTCCCATTTCTTACTAAAATTTCCATAATAAGAATGCCACATCTGATGATGTTATCCCAGTAGACGACCAAGCACTGAAACAAAAGGATTAACTAGTGAGGAATCAGAGAGGGTTGGGTTTTTGCCATCAGATTTTAAAGCCATGTTGGTCAATTTACATTTTATACATACTTGAAAGAATGGTACATTAAGATAAATGAACACATTGTGATGACTTCCAGTGTTACAAGGGTGACAAACAAGTCTGGAGATCCATGTATGTTTTAAAGAACAGTACATTTGTTTAAATAAACTCATAGAAAACTAACATAAACAACCATAAGACAGATTTTTAAACAGGTAAAATGAATAAACTGTAAAAATACCGCATCTCCCATAAACATACTCTGTGGTTCCACCACCTTGTGGCCAACAAAAAAGACGCAGTTTTGCTTCATACGGTGTATGCTGATTGCCTTGTATTAGGAACTGAAGGTCAGAATCGAGGCAGGCAGTGGGCATCAGCAAATATAGTCAATACACTGCTGTATTTTGCCCTTAGCTGATACACTGAAAAATAGCAGCATTAAAATACAGCCTGAAATAGCTTAGCTACTACCTCAACTTGTTAAAATTGTGCAAGAATAAAGAACACCAGCAGCATTTTAATGGATGTGTTTCAATTTGGTTCCAGACACTCCCCTGCCATACAAAGCACACACAAACACAAAGCTGAAACTGATCTTGTAACTGTTACTCCTTGTCCATCTTTGAAAACTTTTCCTATAGTTTGCTTTACTTAACTTTTTTTAATTTTACTTAAAAATCTATTCAGTGTTAAAAAAAAATCCATGAGAATTTTAAAATAGTTTCTAAATGCTAGGAAACTGATGCTTATTCCTCTCCTTAAACTGGAGATACACAGACTATCTTAATCACCTGAATTTCTTTAGTTGAAAGTCTTAACATTTCAGATTCCTGTTACTGAGAGCTACATTTTTAGAAAGGTCTCTCCAATAGACTAGAGATTGAAAGAGCATAAACTCCCAGTGCACATGTAAAGGGTAGTTTTTTGCTAGTTTGCTCTTACGTTGTTTATATTGTACCTTTTTGATATAAAAAATGGAAGAGTTAGGTTTTCTGACACAACTCACAAGAGAATATATAAGAGTAGATATCAGAAGGCCTTCTCTAAAGCGAAGTTTTGCAATTCCCCCGATGTTTAAGTATGATAAGGCTTATTAAAAAAAAAACCAAAGTAAAAAAAAACAAAAAAACCCAAGCAACATCCCTGGGAAAAGAACATAAAAGCCTTTTGGAAATATTTAATTTCTGAAAACATAAGACTATTTGAAAAAACTTAATTGCAAAATTAAAGGAAATTCAAGAAATCAATTCTCATGTTTCAAATCAGTCCATGATTTCATCATCAGCAATAAGATGCGCTATCTTTTCCAGCCCAAAATTACCAGCTTTGGGGAAAACATATTCATACTTAACAGAAATAATTAACGGGTTAAGTTAAATTAACTTTTTTCCCTGATCCACATGCCTGCATGTTAGATAATGTTACATTAGAACTGAGCATTGTAATGACAGACTAAAAGCAACAACCTGTAACAGTAACCAAAACAAAAGCAATTTTCGCATGGTTACATACTATAGATCAGTAATTTAATATTAAAATTAACTTCCTATATAAATAAAAATAAAAAAGTTGGGCAAAAGTAAATTGGCACAGTCTTTATGGTATTGCTTTCCAGTTTCAACACTGCAAAGAGCAGCCACAGATTCCAAACACCAAAAGGAAAAGGCTATCACCCAACCACCTGGTGTAGTTTGGGTTTTTTTTTCCCTTTTAAATGAAGTCATCAGCAGTGCTACTGCCTCAGATATATCAAACAACAGCTTGGAACGGGTAGGTGTGCAGCTTGCAGTAAAAGGATTGCTATAGAACCGCTATGTAAATATAAGAACAAATACATAAAAACAAACCCATAGAGTGTGGTTTACTGGTCTGCATGACTTTTCTTGAGTCTATGTTTTTCAGGATTGTGACTAAATTTTACCTTCAAAAAGGCAAAAAAAAAAAAAAAATCTTAAGCCTTCAAGTTTTCTTGCCTTCATTCCCTCCCTCCCTTCCCCAAAAAAGCACCTCCTACTATAAACACTTTTTCTGTTTTATGGGTTCAGAAGTATGGAATGTAGTGGAAATATATACAAGAGAAGGAATTTCTTGTTGTACATTACATTACAAAGAGGTTTGCTCCCAAACGTAAGGAGGGAGGGATACTAAGCAACATTAAATTCCTATAAGAATCCTTACAAAGCATGCAAAATATTGATATACTCACAAAATTGAAATTTGTTTGTTCCTTTTTGAATTTGCAACTTCAGAGTACAATAATTTCTAATACTATGCAGCAGTCAGAATTACAGTGACTACAAAATAATTTCCCTTCAGTTTTTTTCTTCCCATTTGTTTGAACAACTCCTTTGTTTTGTTTTTTTTTTTTAATTGAGAGGTTGCAGATCACACATCAGAAAATGTGAAATTCAGCATAACAGGGGTTGCCACCTTTATCGTATTTCCCCTCAAATGATATTGACAGCCTAACTACCAATCTTTCAAAATCTGTCCCTCCCTCCCCTTCTCATGCTGATTCCTTCCCTTGTCTTCAAGCTGTACTTTTCTTCTCACCAGGATGATGATGGACAGATGCCATTAAATGGATGCTGCATAACAGGGTAGGAAATAAAAAGGGCTGGAGTAGTTTATGAAAATGGAATCACTCCCACCCTTCCCAAGGTGTTTGGCACAACTGCTTCATACCCAGAATACTTTGCTCTGGATACCAGCAATTAGATTATGCTTTCAATTCCCTAGACAAATACTGCTGCCCTTTATGCCTATGTAACCCCTGTGGCTTTAACTGATTTAGGCAGGGAAACACAAACTTGGTATTTGGCTAGACCTTTTGTACTGCTGTGTGTAGTTCCATAGAAATTTTTTCACTGCTCTTATCTAAAACAGGGTTGGAATCTCTGGAGAATACGCAATGCATGCTACTTGCTAGATTGTCCATAAAGTACATTCTGATACATTTTATCAAAGTATTTGTGTCTATCAGAAAAAGACTCATGTAGAAGCAATGTACAAAGCCTCCAAAAATTCAAGTATCAAAAAAAAAGATGTTCTGGTAAAAGTTTGGAGTAAGCAGCCAGCCAAACTGATAACCATTGATTTTTTTTTTTTTTTGGTCCACAAATGCTTCAATTATTTTTGCAGTGATAATATCTTTTCTTTGCAGTATTGGGAACTAACAGTCTTCCCAATTAATTTTCATTAAGTTTGCTGGGGTCTAAGGAATTTAGCAATCCTGTCTGGATATTGCCCCTGCTTTTATATGCAAACAACCAACAGAATCACAAACAGAATCACTGACTCTAATCCTCCCTGCCTCTCTTTATTCTGCTATATTTATTTATAGTGTAACATCATTGGGTCTGGCTCCCTTAACCCAAAAAACCCCGTCAGAAGTGCAACATAGGCAAGAGCAGGGCATCTCCTTCCCTAGAGTTGCAAGGGAACGGGTGGATGAGACAAAAAACCCAAGCCCCAAACAAACCAACAGTTCTAGTTGTATGCAAAACTGTTTCATTTCTTTAGAACCCTGTTCAAATCAAGACTTGAATTTCTGAGGAGGGAATCTTAGATCCCAGACCCTTCCCTTCTCCTCTCCTCTTGCAAAGCAATGCTATTTTTGTGGCTTAGAACAGTACTTTAAAAACAGCAGTTATTAAAGACACAGTTGTGATATATCCTTTAACTCCCCCTCACCCAAAAAGGGGTATCCTATCAAGTGGTCCAGTAGAAATCTTGAAGTTTCTTTATGATAAATTAAATCCATAAAATGAGGAATACCTTCTGTCACATTCCCAGCAAGAATAAGAGCCACACTCTGTGGTGCATTTGTTCAAGTGCTATTGCTCCTTCTAGTGGAGATTCTGCACAGCTCCATCTCCAGTTCAGTTCTGGTCCTACCAATCAAAAGTAGAGATTTTTCTCCTTTCTCTTCAGCTTGTCTCTGGTTAACAAACAGCAGAAGCACTGAGGGCCATAATTCCCCAGGATAGGAACAGGCCAGTAATGTCTGAAGAAACACCAGTCATCTTTTTCTCAGGTGTGGCAGATTTATGCCAACAGCAGTTTTTTGTGTCCTGTTGGTATCTCAGGCTCCTACACCTCTGTGGAAAAGAGAATGCTTTGCCTCTTGCTGTCTGGGGTAGGGATAGTCTCTAGCTGCAGGAAGTACAGAAGAACTTGAACCTGGAAAGAGAAAGAAAGAGGTAATAATAAAGCTCTGTTAACATTCTCATCCTGGCTATTTGAGAGTTGGCAGACATGCCTACAGCTCTCTCCACAAGAACATCTTGCAGTTATGTATTTGTGTTAATACAGTATGTAATAGCAGGAATATTAAAACTTGCAGTGCTTCAGAGACACTCTTTTCGGCTTCCAGGATATAACAATGGTGTTAGTGTTCCACTGCACTGCAAAAATCTGATCTATAGTTTGCCATTACTCAATCAAGAAAGTACAAAACAGCCTGACCAGCTAATACAGCTTCTGTCTTCCAATTCTCTGCATCGCCTTCAAAAGGCAGCAGTGGCCAAAGAAATCTGAATTTAGCAAAGAATTTTGTTGTGCATCAGTGAAGATAGTTTAAGTGTTGAGGAGCATCACAGAAAAACACTGATGGTCCTTTTATCCCAGGCTAGCAATATGGCGCTGTAAGACAGCTCTCAAAAAACCTTACTATGCACAAACATGAAACATACAGAGTTGCGTGCAAACTGACATTTTTTCATTAAAAGCATTCTGAACTGCCTGAAGAAAGAGAGTTGTACAAACAGTCTAAAACGTCTGTGGAAGGGTGAAAGTTGTTTATGTTTCTCAAAAAAACTGTCATGAAAACACAGGAGGATGGCTGAACCAGGTCTTGCTAGAGGACTGCCATTTCCCAGATACTGTCTTCACAAGATTCAATAGAACATTCAGGATTTTACCTGGGACATGACTTCTAGTGACCAACTATCAGTCATTGTGATAGGCTGGGTTGGGTTAGCAGGGATTTTACTGTCCTTCTCTGAAGGTCTGAGCAGTGTTGGTCCAAAGACAGTTGCAAGATTATGCAGGGACATCTTGTTAACACTTTCCCTCTCAGCAACCCTGGGAGAAGAAACAATGAACAAGACAGATCTTTATAAATATCCGAGTTTGGAAGTGTCCTTAAGTAAGAAACCATATTTATTCCTTTTGTAACAAGTTTTAGATACATTCAATCAACCACTCTCTCCATATGTGCCTAAATGAACTTTATATATAAGAATACCTTGATCTGACACAACCACAGTCTCCAGGCACTCTACAGAACGGCTTAAACTTGGGAAGGGGATTGCTGCTTACTGTCTGGACACACAGAAGTGGGACAGGAATAAAGGAATGTTTTTCATTCCAGTTTCATAAATGAGAAACCGAGGCACAAAGGTTAAAAAATTTATCCAAGGGCAGAAAAGTCTGCAGCACAAACCCAAGTAAAACCCAGATTTCCTAGATTTTAATCCAGAACCTCAGTCACAAGATTATGTTTCATCTCTCTAGTGACAGTCTCTGGTATGTACAAAATATGGATGTAAATTAACACATTGTGCATGTATTAAGCAAGCTTATTGCATTAATATTAAACACACGGAAATACTTCTGCACAGTTAAAACCATATTACAAAGAGAGAGACAAGATCAGAAGACTAGTCTAAGCAACGAACTGACAATTCCAGTTAGCAGAAGTGCTGGAACTTTTAAAAATATATCATATTAGATTGCAGACACCGTTTGAGACAGGGCTTATAAGTCCTTAAACACGGCCAAAGCTTCATGATTTGTACTATTTTCCTGATCTTTGTATCCAGATGCAGGTGCAGTTTTGTAGCAATATTGCAGCAGGAA